AAAAAGTAAAGAAGGAGAATAAAGGTTTGAACCCTGACCATATTAGTAAGAAAGCACCATTTTACCATAATTTGACCAATTATTCTACATGTACTCCTCAATAATATATTGCCTTCTAACTATTCGCTATCCCCAAATTCTCCACTATTTAAAAAATAATTGTATTTTTCTTTTTCAAGTGAAGCAAAAAACAATATTGCTTTAAGTATTTTAACTCCTGCTACAAGAACTAAAAATGTAATCAATGTCATCGTGTAAGTGCTAGATTACCGTTTGTACACTTGTGTAATAATATAAACTCTCCTTTCGCCCGTAAATATGCTTAAAAAGGAAATAAAAACAAACTTAATTCAGATCATATTAAAAAAAAAAGAAGAAGCAATGATTAACATACATATCCATTTCCTTAGCTTATGATCTTGAACGATGCCAACTCCACCAACTGGAGCACTTCTTGGTTTGATGGGGAACGCCTTCACTCGTGTAGCTTCACTTACGAATTACAATCAATATACGTAGCAATTGATAGAATCAAGTTACTATCTAGAAACAACTAAAAAATTAGAAAGACAAATGGTGGTGGATACAAGGAAAAAATCTAAAAAAATCAAAAATAGAAAGTAATTAAGGATAATTGGGTCATGTTACATGCTAGATTGTTCATGTACATGTGAATTTATTATTTGGAAAATTATTGGTATATTTTATGATTTAATATATTTTACAACGTATTTATTAAAAAATTATTATTTTTAAATTTGAATTAAATGCAAAAAAACTTAAAACTTCATATTTTAATGGTTGAACTAGTGTGTGTTAACGAATGTATTAAACCAAAATGTATACTAATTATTTTTCTTATAATTTATATGGCATCTTTGTCATGTACATAATTTTTTTTTTCTATTTACTTTAAACATTAATGAAGTCCCTTATATAGTTAGCAGTAGTAGGGAGCAAATATACGTATTGTTTGTGAGGACCTTATCATAGAAAGAGCTTTATACTTTATAGACCTTTCTTAAATGTCCTTGATGTTGATAGTGGTGACACTGAGATGAGACATGAACAATCTAGAGACATCAATATCACAAAGATTAGTGTCTGTCTTTTACATGGATTAGGAGGAGATCTACTAAGGCTGGTTTTCCCTTCTTCTACTAGTGTAATTTCCCTAATTTATGTGTTCAAGAAATTACTAAAACTTAAACTTCTCATCCATACTTTAGGTCCTCTTATTGTTGTTGGAATATCTTCATAGGTGTTCCTTTTGTAATGCATACTTGAGATTATGAGTGGAGTATCCCTTGTACTCCTTATCAGAATAAATCATTTTGATTCATCTAAAAAAAAAACAAAGATTAATGTCTGTTTATAGACTAAACTTGTTTGTTAAGGATTTAGGTGATCAATTGTCAAGCATACAAGTACTCGTTCTAGGAGAAAAACATGAGAATTGGACTAACCCGCCTCCATGAGAACCATACATGGTTCAAGTTAGGTCAAAATACTAATGGGTACAAAAAATTTAAGTTCTTTTTGAAGTTTAAGGACATTTTCATTGCATATCTGAACCCACAAGTACTAAATTAGTATTTTAACTTTCAAGTCAATTGGTGGAGCTAAGGGAGGCAGCCCCCCTACGCTTTTGAAAAAGAAGTTTAGACTCTAAATTTTAATTTATTATATTTGTCTTAAATAGTTTTATTATTATTTTAGTTATTTTTACTATTAAAGATTACTTTTAATAATAACTTTCTGTTTTACATTTTTAAGTAGTGTTCTTTTTACTCATTATATATATGTTCATTTGTCTCCTAGAAGATATTTCAATGGTTAAGAATTTAAGTTTTCATATAAGAAATCTTTAATTTAAATTTTGGGATGGATGAGAAGAGTTTTAAGAAAGAAAGAGTTATATCTTATTATATAACCACCAGCCAACATACCAAAAAATATTTATATATGTTCATTTTGTCCTTCAATTGATGACACTTATATCACTTCATCAACAACCATTAATTTATCATGAAAACTAACAAATTTTATTTATAATTTTTTTTTTAAAAAAATTTCTTTTCTATCAACTTCTCAATGTGCACACAAACGCACCATTTCTTAGTCAATATTTTGTTCCCTAAAAAATATGTCTGGCTGCGCTACTTCAAGTTATTACGTACTCTCAACATGATGATATGCAAGTGATCTTAAACTTGAGATCATCATACTCTAATATAAGCTAGAAATGATAAACAACCTTATCCAAAAAGCCCAGTGAAAGTAATTCGGAACGCACTCTAAATCAACTCAGAAGAACAAATCGGAAAAAGAATGAAGATTGCGAAACCCAAAAAACTCAATTTGTTAGGATATAAGAGCTCTGAGGAATCTGAGATTAAATTTGCTTTTGGCCAAATAATTAAATATATAAAAAGAGAAATTATCTTTCAAATTAAAGAAAAAAGAAAAGGCAATACTTACATTTATAAATCCAGCGTCCCCAAGATCCAAGCTCATTTATACTTAAGAATGGAGGAGCAGTTTGAGCAAGTGTTAAAATGATTGGATCACAATTCGAAGGGTGTTTAGATACCAAATCTGAAAAATGGTGGAGTAGATCCAATGCAATATCTGATATATATATATATATATATATATATGAAAGTTTGTTAGACAGTAAAATAACAACATTATACACCCTCTATCTAAGAATGATAGACATTTTTTATTTAAAATTTGTTCCAAACTAGTAGTCATTTTATGTAAGATAAATATTTGTTTCTTACTACTTCAATCTTAGGTTAAATATTTAATCACTAAACTTTTAATTTTGAACAATTTTAATTTTTAAACTATTTTTACACACTTTTCATTCTTTAAATTCAAAAAATGCACTTTATTAGTCATTTTGTTAGTTTTGTCCATTAAATTTGTATAGTTAGTATTTTTTGACGCTAAACTTTTGTTTTATTTACATTTAGGTTATTAAAGAAAATTAAGAAAATCTAGTTGGTCATATAGAATAGATCAAATTGATGAAAGGAAATGAAAGTGCATTTTTCATAATTGATGAAGGAAAAAGGTGCAAAAAATAATTTAAGGACTAAAATTGTTCAAAATGAAAGTTTCGGGACTAAATCTGACATTTAACCTTAATTTTATCATTATTTTTTAACTTTAATTATTTATTCTATCATAAAACAACCTTTTTATTTTTATTTTTTTAAAGTTAATAGAAGAAAAAATATAAATTATTATTCAGATCCTTAATCTAAAAATAAAATTAAAAAGAATACTAATTAATATATATTACACAACACATTTATTATAAAATCATTATTTTTTAATATAAAATTAAAAATAAACAAATTTACAGAATCCAGTCATACATGTATAAAATAAAAACTGGATAAATCAACTATATTTATATTATATTTTAATAATTAAACAAAAAAAGTATTAAATTAAATGTATACCAATAATTTTTTAATTAAAAAATATTTATTATTCTAAAACAAAGTGAATATATAGTGATTAAAAAAAAAAAAGAATTGTAGAACTCTTTACCAAACGTTCTCTTGGTTATACAGTGCTGGAGGAGGAAGAAGCCACTGTCTTCCCGTAGAAAATGATCAAGTGGAATCTTCTTATAGAGGTAATGTGCCATGTTCTTGCGACCACAAGTAATTGCATGCTTAAGAGCAGAGTCCAACATTTGTGGAGATATTTTATCCTGTTCGCTATGTAAGAACTGCTTTACGTTGGAAATGGACTCATAGCAAACTAAATTTTGCAAGGTCACTTCATGCTCTGCCAATAATGGTTGTAAGTAATTATCATTTGTATTAAAAATTTGAAGTCATAGTATCAACCTATTTCTTCAAAATGCATTTAAAAGAAAAAAAAATTATTCGACCTTTTTTCAGCTCTCTTACAGTCGAAACCTAGACCCCCAATACAAGATCTCAATGCCACACACTTCAACAAAGATCAAGAATTAAGCTCTAGAATGCTGCCCAATGTTTTAAGAAAAGGACCAGTGGCCACACCATTTTGACTGTTGGTTCGGGCTCAACTAGTTGGATGGATCAAACCAAATGGTCCAAATAATTGACTAAATAAAATAATATTAAATTGATTTGTCAATTTTAAAATTATCTTGCCTTAATTTAATTTATTTTAAAATTAATTGAGATCATTTTGTGATAATTAATATATTAAAGTGGCAATTAGTTTTAAATTAATTTTATTTTCAAAATTTATTTCATTTCCAAAATTGATTAATTTCAAATGCTTAAATTTATCAAAATATCTAATATAATTTTAGTTTATTATCCGTAAAAGACTAAAACATTAATGTTGTATAAATTATAAAATTATTTTTTTATTCTATTGGTTTTATTTTCAAATTTAAATTAAATTAATTTTAATTCCAAATTGGTTTCATTCATTTCATTTACAAAAGTAGTTATTTATTTTCAAAAATTTTATTCTCATAATTGATTTGATTTGATTTCAAATTAATTTCATCCTCTAAAATGAAATAATAATTTAGTTTCAAATCGATTTCAAATTTTCATCCATACTAATTTGACTTTAAATTTTAATTTGATTTATAATTTAATTATTATATTATCCAACAAATAGTAAATATAAAAACTAAATAAATATTCCAAAAAGAAAAAAAAATATATAATAAAAACTAAGAAAAGCTGACCTGATTTGGATTTTACCAGTTTTGACCAATTATTGACTACAACCAGTTTGGTACCTTAAGATGAACTATTAGTCAGAGCGGTTATTGGTTACCAAATTTCGGTCAAGTTGATCAAACCGATCAGTTTGGTCTAGTCCGGATTTTAAAATATTGCTTTTATTTAAAATTAAGAAAATGGGTTTTTTTTTTTTGGCAAACTGCACTTAAATCTTCCGCCCAAAATGTAAAAAAAGACAAAATCACTGTTAATAAATCTTCCTACACTCCTGATTAAGGGTATTTTTATCTTTTTAAACTCTAAATTGATATTTTTAAGTGCATAAACTGTACAATATATCTCTATAAAATTAAAATAGAATATATATATATAGTTAACTTGATTGCTAAACCTCATCAATAACCAATGCGGAAAAAATAGCTCCAACAGTGAGATGGAATATTAAGGAGAATTAAAATAAAAAAAAGGAACCTGTTTGCCTTTCTTGGTGGAGCTCAGAAATATCATGATTGACAACTTCAACAATTGGCCGGGGTTTCAGCTTATCTGCCAACGCATCCCAAGCAGTTTTTGCGTGAGATATCTTCTTTATTTGATCAAATGCTTCTGTTCCACAAGAAATCCTAATGGCATATAGAGCTAAAGCATTCTTTTTACTCCACTCCTTCCTATTTCCTCCTTGAGGCATCCTGTCTGATTGAATAACCTCCCAAAGATCCTGAAGCTCTAAATAGTGTTGCATTAAAATGCTCCATCTTTCATAATTATCTTTCTTAAGAGCTTCGGGTACAATCGTGCTTGGAGAAGTAACCATTTCCATGTTAGCCTATTAAACATTTCACCGTAAATAAAATTCATGTAAGTACTTATTGGAGAAAGGGAGCAGGAATGTTTTAATGCAGCCCAAAACTAGCTACTAGATGGGGACGTGCCCTTCTCATCTGAATGTTTTGGTTCTATATTCTGCCATAGTTTAAATTACAAAACTGTAAACTTTAAAGGAAATTGAAAACAATATATATATATATATATATATATATATATATTTGGAGGAGGGGTTTTCCAATTTCAAAACAGCAATACTTCATTTAACTAAGGGGAAATTGCACTTTTTCTCACGTGGTTGGGAGTGGGTGCATTTAACCTCAAAATGACAAAAATCAGTGCTTTACTTCTAAACCATGTAAATGTGCTTTTGAGTCTTGACTATCTTCAAATATGCACTTGACCTCAGAAGTTTGTTAATATTAAAAAGGTGCAATCTCAAAAATAAATTAGAGGTTAATGGCTGTTCTCTAAACGCATAGAGGTCAAACATGAATTTGATAGATAAGAAAGAGCTACGGCTCAAGAGGAAGAAAAGCCTCTCACCTTCATACCATGTCTTTGACACGGATGGACAAAAAAGCATCACTTGCCTTCTCAAAACCGAAGTTTCACCCTACCTAGTATGGTTTTTCATGTACCATATGAAGTACAGAAATAAATTAAAAAGGTGCCCTAGTGATAGGACCAAAACTATATAATTAACCATACTTACAAACTTCCTCAGTATATGATGCTCAGGAACTCAGTGTGCCACCAATGCTGTTAAACACAGAAAAACTCTAGCAAGAATGATTCGGCTGATGACCTCTTCTTTTGAGCGCAAGATTTGTTGAGTCCATGCTATGCAAATGATGTCCTTTGCACTAGGGCGCCTGAGACAAGTGAGCGCTTTCTTTGTCAAATGTTGTTACACTAGTAGAATCTGACAGGATATCAGCAATAAAGCAAGAATACCATTTGTGGATCCGTGGCAAGGGTTAGTGAGATGGCTGGGAAGAGGTTGAGAAAGAAATCACTGCATGTCAATTTGATAAAAATGGCTTGGAATTTGTGCAACCCAAGATAAGAAAAAAAAAAAGCGTTTGCTCGGGGAAATGTATTTCTCAAATTTTTATAAAAATTTTAGGCATCTTTTAAAATAAGTAGTAATTAAATAAGAAAAAAAAGTAGAATATAATTACGAGTCACGTATCTGGGTTAAAAAAAATAGAGATGAAAAGAAATGGGGAAGAAAGAGAAGTTTTATCTCTTAATTTTTCTCTACTTCTCTTTCATTTTTTTATTTAAATAAATTAACAAATTAA